GCCTTTGATAATGACATGGAACTTAGCCACAGTGAGATCTCTCAAAAACTTCACTAGTAAACACACACAGCAGGGTTATGGGAGGCCGTGCAGTGTGGTAGATATGTTTAACACACAGGAAAGCCAATGTGCAAAGCTAATTTGGAGCATAAGAAACCACATGTCCCAAAGCGAGTAATCGAGCAGTCATAGTGGATCTCATGCATGCTGTTACCACAACACATGTGTTTATGTACACATAGGACCAACATGTATCTGACAGCCACAGAGCTCATTTTCTTTTCCTTATTTGTTGGAAGGGAGGAGTCTATGGCAGTATAATCCTGCTCTGTGCACTGAAAATACCTCTAAGGATTTCTCTCCACGTTCTTAGCATATCTTGTGTGTTGTCAGCAGTGAATGGAACCAGTAGTCTGATACATGTGATAGAATTTATTTAAGTTCTTCTACTAGTGCATGCTAGAGAAACAAACGAGAGCAGTGGCCCCATATAGGCGTGAGAGAGAAGAGGAAGGAAGAGGAAAGGCCAGGAGGCAGGGTAGCAAGTTAGTGAGTGTGAAGGGTTGTAAAACTCGAGTTCTCTAGAAGGCTAAGTGACCAGGCCTTTCCACCAGGTCTGTGGACTGTGTGCTTGAAAGGCCAAGCCTTGAGCTTTCTTCCTCTGGGTGCCTCCAGCCCACCATGGTGCCTGACACATAGTTCTAGGATCTGAAATTGTGGTTCCAAGCTGGAATTGGACATGGAGCTGTGGCTCAAGTGACAGAGCACAAACCAGACTTGAGTGAAAAAGCTAAGAGACAGTGACCACACACACACACACACACACACACACACACACACATACACACATACACACACAATACACAAATAACATTATTGAACTAATAATTGAACTATTGTTGTTGTTGTTACTGTTTCAGATGAGTGCAATGGCTCAAGTTTGTAATCCCAGCTACGTAGAAGGCAGGGATTGAAAGATGTGATGTGAGGCCAGCCAGAAAATAAAAAAATAAAAGTTTGCAAGATCCTATGCAACAATGGCTGGGCAGGGTGGTTGGAAGCAGGAATGGAGGATCAAAGTCCAGGTTCAGGTATAAGAAGAACCTATCTCAAAAACACACACACACACACACACACACACACACACACACACACACACACACACACACACACACACACACACACACACACAGAGGCTAATGGAGTGACTTGAGGTAGAGTGTCTGCTTAGCAAGTGTGAAGTTTGATACCTAACCCCCACAAAAATTATTTTAATCACAGAGACCATAACACAGATACAGAATGGCCGCAGGCACCTGTCAGCTGGGCACGCCGGAAAGGCTCTGTCTGAATAAGGTTCTGTCTGGGCCTGTCCCGGGTCCCCTTAAACCGTAGCCCTGCCCCTTCTGAAGCCCGGCTTGCTTTCTATTGTATGAGAGCTGAAGGACTCTCCAGGCTGCTGCCACTGCTACACTAAAATTGTCTCTCACAGCCTAAATGGCATTTAAAATAAATACTGTGAATTGATGAAATGACCAATTATGTGAAGTACCCCTGCCTGGTGTAATCCAAACCAAACCTTACCCCATTAGCCTCAGGACACGGAGCCGCACTTCCACAGCCCCTCCTGCCAGCCGGCACCGCACTCGGCAGCCGAGATGGACCTCGAACGCCTCCTGTTAATTCTGGCAATTGGGTTTGTGCTGGTTAAAAATAAATAAATAAATAAATACACGCACTCCGCTTCCACTCATCAGCTTGCAAACCCAACAGCCGTTGGGCGACGTGAGGGAGACGCGCTGGGGGTGACATGATGTCATTTCAGGTTCTCGCTTCCTTTATTTCCCCTTAGGACCTCATGTGGCAGGCAGCAAAGACCTACGCGTTTCCAACTTCAGGATGAGGTGAAGGCCACAGGCAGGCAGTGGGAATCTCGCTGTGAGAGGGTCTTAGCTTCCCCGGCAGCAGAGCAGGATTGGGACTCAACAGCCAGCTAAGTGGGACGTGCAGGTACTGTGTGTCAAAGGCACTGTCCATGCGTGGTATTGCCAGCTTATCACACGTCTACGGGATGGAGCCCGCTGTAAGACAGGGGGCACCTGAGCTCTTCTTAGACCTAACAGGGAGCTAGTGACGTCACCAGCCATGCACACGCGCACACACACACACACACGCACGCACACATACACCTTCCCCATGGCCAAGTCCCCACTGCTGTGCTTTGAGATGCCATTTCTCCTGTTGTACCCGCTCTGGTGATGCCACTTCTGCCAATTCCACATACTCATGCTTCTGTATGCCAAGGCCTTGTTCAAGTGTCCATTCCCTCAAGAAGTGACAGTCCCTCCGCTGCTCCCATCCAGAGACAGTGTGTCTTCCTTTTCATGTCTGCTCCTCTTCCTAGCCTGCACTCATATGCCTTCAAGCCCGGGCCGGTACACATGGTAGGTCTCTGTCCACAGCCTCCTTAAGAATAAAACATCTGATTCTGTTTGGCCTCAAAACTCACCTTTGCGACTGGCTGGCTTGTGACAAACTTCTTTCCTGGACTGATTATTGTTTAAAAATGTCCTCTTGGGCTGGGAATGTGGCTCAGTGGCAGAGTGCTTGCCTAGCATGCATGAGCCCAGGGTTCGATTCCTTGGTACCACATAAACAGAAAAGGCCTGAAGTGGTACTGTGACTCAGGTGGTAGATGCTAGCCTTGCACAAAAGGAGCTCAGGGACAGTACCCAGACGCTGAGTTCAAGTCCCAGGGCATACATACATACATACATACATACATACATAAATGTGCTCTTACTACCGGGAAAAAGGAAGGCACGCAAGTAGAGATAAGTAAGCATAGCATGTACAACCAGGCCTCTTAGTTTTGTTTTGGCAATTTGTAGGTACCATGGCTTGAACTCAGGGCTCACGTTTGTTCATGGCTAGCACTCTACTACTCGAACCATACCTCCAGCCTGGCTTTAGAAGGGTAAATGGAGATGGAGTCTCCTAAGACTTTTCTGCATTGAACTTTGGTCCTCTAGATCTCAGCCTTCTGTGTACCTAGGATCACAGGCATGAGCCATCAGTGCCAAGCTCAGTTCCCTTCTTCGTATACCTGTATCATTATTTTGAAGTTGCTTACGGGCATTTGAACATGCAGGGAAACCCAGTACCACACACATATATCTACACCTAATTATCTAATCAATCAATCTATCTATTTGTCTGTAAGAAAAAGAGAGGGGGGAGATGGTACTCATATAAGTTGAAACACTTTACCACACTAAAAGGTCTCAAGAACTCTGGACAGGTACAGCAAAATGATGAAACATTGAAAAAATAATAATAACAATGTTACCAAGTCCCCACCTAAACCCCTAAACTCATGAACAGTCTCCTGACTTTCAACAACAAAAAAATACAGCTTAACCAGTGGCTCATGCCTGTAATCCTAGCTCCTCCCGAGGCTGAGAGCAAAGGATTGTGGTGTACCCATGAGAAATGTCAGACTGCATCCATTCCATTCCAGAAATTTTATCTATGCTTCTCCCCCAAGTCTCTGACCAATAGAAGCAAACAGAAAACTAATATGCAAAGTGCAAATCCTTTATTGAATAAAAACTCTGACAAGAAAAAGGCTTTAAGAAAATGAAATCTCATTTCCAAAATAACACAAACGTTAACAAGGAAGATGCACAGAACTTTGAAATCCACTTGAGAAAACCCCTGAAGATGATTGTGGTTGGGTTCTCTGTAAACAATCTGAGAGAACAGAATCCATTTTTTTCCTCTTGGAATAATATTAATTTTTGAGAGTAAAGGTAATCCCTTTTATTGTCTTACACATTTAGGATATCTACAATGACTATCAAATATTAGGATTAATCACACTTGCAAGCCTAAATTTCACCATTACTTAAAGAAAAAAAACAAAAAAAGTCAAGGAATTCTTAAGTTTCTGATTACACAGATTATTAGAAAGCCAAGAGACAATTGCCTGGGCTATAAAACAACACAAAACACAAGGACATCTCTCACGATTGTCAAACTACTCCAGAAACCTGAAGATAAATGTCTGTTTTCTTCAACACATTAATAATATTCTTCTTGACACTGGTTGCTAGCCTCCGCGTGTCCTTTTAAGGGACATAGGCAAACACATCTCTAAGCCAACAAAAAGACACGAAAGCCCTCATCAAATGCCAGTAGAGTTCCAAGGCGCTTAGAACAACCAAACCCACCTGCTTGGGTAGCTGTGCCACCTGGCTTCCTGCTTGGTTGATGGAATCTAAAGGGGACAGGATGCTGGGGGCGTGGGGGCCAATTTTGTAGAGCACATATTGCCACAAGAGCCAACGTCTCTAGGTAATTTCTGGAAGCATTTGGAATGTACCTTTGGGATATTTTTAACCATTTATTCCTCTTTAACTTTGGTACGGTTTGAATTCCCTGAGCACACTGGATAGGAGCTAGTACACAGTGGCTGGGGATGGAGAAGTCCCCCCAGAAAATGACTTCTGTGGGGACAAATGAGGGGGACCTAAACTCTGTACCACAAAAGCAACCAGAGTCAACCTCCTGGACACCCAGGAATAGTGGGGGGTATAGAGTCCAAGGAACAAGCGTGGCTCCATGATGACAGATCACCCAAACCAAGCTCGATCAACTCAAGTACTGGAAACACTGAAGTCCAGCCCAGCACACGCTATTGTCATATTCCAAGTTTTTTTCATGTAATTCCGATTCCAGCAAAAAAGCCCCCACACTTCTCAAATATGACCCGTGACACAAGCCTAGAGGGCCTAGTTTCAGACTTACAACTTTCAGCAACCAAGAGATTTTAGTAGGAAGAAATACAGAGACTTAGGAATTAGGGCCCAGTCCATGACAGCCGCACTTCTGCAGAGAGAGGCCACGATAAACAGAAGAGACCTCACACCACACACAAAGGAGGAAGGAAGGAGAAGGAAGAAGAAGAAGAAGAAGAGAAGGCGTTCCTAGACACTTACCTTGCAGAAGGGCTCCATTTCTCTTGAAGAAGGTACTGCCGGGCCAGATGGGTGGACCTGATGTGCTGGAAGAGAAGAAACATGTGAAAGTTACAAACTTGTTTCCATTCTCACATCTGACCACCCCTCATCCCCACATCACTGGAAATGGCCACAGAACATTTTCTCCAGGTATGCATTACTGGCACTATTGAAAATGCAGTTTTATAAAAAAACACAGGCTTCCTAATTTTCCACAGCAGAACCATCTGTGCGAGTTCTCTCGTAAACACCTTTGGCCCTGTGGGCATTGAAATCACTTGCATGTAGACAAATGATAAAAGCATGTGGTCCAACAGCATCACAGAGAATGGCAGAGTGCTTGCTAAGCTGTTCACGATTTTGTGAATTGATTCATTAATTTTGAGGTGCTGGTACTGAACTCAGGGAACTGCTTTCTCACTTGGCTCTTTCGCTATACCACTTGAGCCACAGCTCCACGTTGGGCATTTTGCTAGTCAACTGGAGATTAAAGTCTCAAGGGCTTTACTGGCTGGGCTGGCATCAAACTGTGATCCTCAAATCACAGCCTCCTGAGTATACAGGATAACAGGTGTGAGCCACCAATGCCCAGTTGCTTTTGTGAATTTATGTGGTAAAAACTCTTGGCTGAGTCTTCTGAAACTAGGCAGGCTTTCTAGCACTTCCTATACACAAACCTGACTCTCTTGGCATTATTATCACTAAACCCTTTTTATATAGATATGACCTTGACTTGATTCCCTCCCTTTCTCCAGTTTCATTTTGTATTCTTTTTTCAATTTCTTGGCTTCAAACGCTGCACTCCAGACCCCATAAAACACTCTGCAGATATGTTAGCAGCCACAGTCCGGTAACAGGAGAGGCCAGAGCAGAAGAAAGATCAATATATCACAGACACACTGTGCTGCATTTGTAGAGGAACACGTTTGCTCTTAAAGACATGCAGTGGAAAACTTCATAATAACCCAATCTTATAATAAACTATTCCTAGAGTGGAAAGTAGGTTATTTTAATGCAAGTACTAGTTTAGATGAAGGCTACTTCCTTTAGCCCCAAGAGTTGATAGAAATTACTTCCACAAAAAAAGTGCCAGGCAAATGATACTGACTAATACATTATCAATCAGGTTCAACATTTAAAATAAAGAAAAACAAACAAAAACTATCAGTCAGAAAATTTGTATCTGTAAGTGTAGTAAGTGTAGTGTGAATTCCTCACTAGTCACTGGGCTCCCTAATTGTGTCAGATTGCAGTTGTATTTAACAAGAAGAAAAAAAATGCCACTGACATTCTGTCTAGCAGAATTTCATTACCAGAAGTACCAACAGTATCATAGATATAGGGACCACACGTGATTCAAAGGGAGAACACACACACTCCCTCACAAGAGAGCCACTGCATAAAAATACTTCTAGCAGCAAGAGAATGAATGTCAAGTACTCCAGCGTGCACATACAGGTTTACCCTATGTCAGTGACTCACTGCCCGGAGCCTCACAGATCCTGCAGGTGGTTTTGTTTCCCCTTTGAAATGAATTAAAGGTTTCTAGTGGCCCTGTGTTCATCAAGTCTATCGGCATCATTTTCCCAACAGTTCAGATGATTGTTAGCGTTTTCCCACAATATTTTCAAGTTAAGATTTGCCTTTTTGCTTATGGGCAATGCTATTGCTCCTTATAGTGTTATGCCTACTTTCTGGATGCACCGGAAAACCAAAAACTGTGCAACTTCACGTTCTTGCAGTGGTCTGGAATTGAACCTTTTTGTTTTATTCCTCTATATTTGAAGTAAAACAGAATAATGTTCTTCCTGCAGCCGAGTCTCGGTTCCCGCAGGGGGTGGTAACTGTCTCCCCCCCTGTCCCCCACCCCCACCCCCTCCACTCAAGTTCAAGGACAAAAGTAGCCAGCTCAATTGACTTCTCCCATCTGAATCCTGTCCTACTACAATTGAGGTGAGAGTTGGGGGGGAGGGGGCGTGGCATGTGGCTTTAAGGCTCAAAGTTGTGGGGAGAACCTCGTACATTAAGATGCTTAAATGATCTTTAACCACCCAGCAAGCTCCCAGGGTTTTTTTTTAACCATCTTTTTTCTTTTCTTTTAACATAACAAAGCAGGAGACAAGCAAGCTAGTTGTTGCCAATGCAGAATGGCCTGACTTATAAAGATATTTAAAAACAGAGGACTTCATTACAGAGGAGTTCATGCTTCTAGAGAATTCAATAATTGAGTATTACGGCAGAAGCCTGAAGATCCAGCTTACTGCCATCCAAATCTCCTCTTTATCCTGACCTTGATTTGCTGAAAACCAAGTGTGTGTGTGTGTGTGTGTGGGGGGGGGGGGGGGGGGGGGGGGAGGGGGGAGAGAAAGAATGGAGCAAATGTAAGGAACTGAGGGTGGATAAATCCAGTGCTTTAGATAAGGAAACTTCTCTGCAAGATAGAAATCTACCTTCAGATTTCCACAGCACTTTTTAAAAAAACATATTTAAGCCGCTGATCGCTATTCTGTGTCCATTCTGCTCCATGGTCCCCTAATCTGAACTCTAGAGGTGGACAGAAATTGGAACTGGCACTGCCATTTCTGGTCCCTGTGGTAACTGAAGAATTCTCTTTACCAAGAGTCCCTGCCACACTCATTGTAGAGCTTGTGGGCTCATCAGCTCCATATTCCAGTTTCATCTTTGGGATGGTCTTTCCTTGCCTGTTAGAAGATTTAAGGAATATGAAGTATATATTGAGAACTGAGCTTCCGGTGCAAAAAACCCAGGAGGAAGAAAAAAATCAAAAACTCTTTTCTTTTGACCTCTAAGAACTTAGTACTGTTATTTATCTAGTGCCAACTTCCTCTGATTCGATCTGGAGACAAGGGATTATCTAGAGGAAGGCTAAATGGCTCTGGGTCCAGCGGCTGCAGACTAGCAAGGTGGCAAACCTGATTTTTTTGCTCTCTGCTGCTGGAGACACCCCTAGCTGATTGGTGTTGGAACTCAAAGCTAGCTAAAAGTACATATATATGAAATTCTTTTTTTTTTTTCTTTTGGTGTTAGTACTGGGCTTCAACTCAAGACCTAAGTGCTGTCCCTAGTTTTGTTGGTTCAAATTAGCACTCTACTACTTTCCAGCTTTTTAATTGAAGAGTCTCATGGGTCTTCCCGGCCTGGGCTGGCTTTGAACCTTGATCCTCAGATCTCAGCCTTCCTTAGCAGTTAGGATTACAAGTATAAACCACCAGTGCCCCCCATAAAGTTCAAATGTATACTAACCACTGCCATTCAGAGAAGAAACTCATAGTGCGAAGGGGTGACAACCCCTCTTCTTGGCATGAACTGGGGGCTCCTTCCACACAATTTCTGTAAAACACCAGTGACTTGTGACTTGTGACTGACGTGGAAAGTGGCCATTCAGGTTCCCTTCACCATGAGGGGTTTCCAGAGCCTCACAATGGTCCCGCAGCACTGACACTTCAGGAGTGGGTACTGAGTCCAGGAATGGATCCACACTTTTCCCCAAGACCTTCCAAGGCTACAGAAGTCTCCTTCCATTAGATGAGCGCAAACAAGTCCTGAGAGCGAGACCGAAGCCCTCTCATGCAACCATCAGCCCACAGCCAGCCCGGGACTTCCGGAGCCAGCCCAAGGTATCACAGGGTCACGCATGCATCCATGGTTCCAGTTCCATTTCTCAGCTTCCAGAGCTGAACTCTTACCCAACCTTCCCATGGACGAAGGCTGGCGGGTGGCAGTTTTCTAGGAATCTCCTCAAGGCTAAGTCCCAGGCTAGAAAAAAGCGATCAGACAAACCAAATGGGAAAGACACGAAGGCTCCTAGCAGGGGAAATAATACAATGCTGGTACTGCAAATGTCTCATTTCAGTAACATGCTCACAGAACCGCATGACCTTCAGCAGTTATCAACCACACCAACTTCAAGACAAAGGAAGCAGGCCAACAAGTGAAAGGTCTTACGTGTCAGAAAGTCAGAACTGGCACTGGGGAACATTGCTCCAGCAATCGTGGAGAGCGGCAAATCCCGAGGTGAGAGATACCGTCCTATACTGCATCCACAGTGCCTGCCGGAGGCTTGCAGCCTTCAATGCAGCAGCATTACTTCCAGATCCCAAGGACCACAATGGACCAACAGATGGTAGAACACGCAAGTGGCTCTAGCCATCATGGTGTCATACTTAAAAATGGCTAAGATGGTAAGTTTTATGTTTTGCGTATCTTAGCATGATTTAAAACAAAATCTGATACATATAAAAAGAGAAGAGAGCCGGGTGCTGGTGGCTCACACCTGTAATCCAAGCTACTTAGGAAGCTAGGATCTGAGCACCACTGTTCCAAGCCAAGAAAGTCTGTGAGACTCTTAAGCCAGAGTGGCGCTGTGGCTCAAAGCGGAAGAGTGTTAGCCTTGAGCAAAAGAACCCAGGGACAGCGCACAGGCCCTGGGGAGAGAGTGAAGGATGCCACATCTACCACCAATAAATCATCAACGCAGAGGTAAGGAAAAATAAAAAACAAGGAAGTCTACTTGCTCTGAGGTATAAGGGGGAAAGAGATCACAATCTGGACTCAAGAGAATTAGTGCAAAATGCAGCTCAAGGTCTTTTAACTTGTCAAGGTCTCAACTACCCACCTGCAAACTAGAGCCAGTGGATTCGTGTGTGGGAATGAAATGAGATGATGTGTGTAAAAAATAGCTGTTCTGGAAATGGCAAAAGTCCCTGTGGTAGTCTTATTCCACGAAATCTGCAGCTCAGAAGTTACGTGACCTGCTCAAGCCACACTAACGTGGTTTGCAGCTGGGCACCAGCATTTCCTTATATACCCTCCTCCACCCTCCCTTGCGGCTTCTTTCTCCTCTCCTGGGATGGATGAGGTAGTTGTACTTCTCATCTTCTGCTTTTCTGCTTTGAGATCTTCTCAAAGCAAATGTTCCTTACTGCAAAGACTCTACAAACAGTTATTAACAACAACAACAACAAAAATCAATGGGTTAGCTAGGCACCACTGGCTCACTCTTGTAATCCTAGTTACTCAGGAG